CCCCCCCCCCACACACCACACACCCCCAGCCCCGCGCCCCTGCATCCCCACTCCCTTACACTCAGCCCAGCGTCCTGCATTCCGCCCTCACACTCAACCCAGCATCCCTGCATCCTTCCTCCTCCGAGGAGTGCAGGGCAGCCAACAGCAGCCAGAGGCCTGGGTCATGCAGTGTAGAGCAGCCTGGAACATGCAGGCCTGGGAGAACAGGGATACACCGAGAGCTCCTTGTGCATCAGCCGAACCCCCCTACACCTCCTGCAGCTCGGAGCAGGGGCTGGGGAAGGGAGTGCCAGGCTCAAAGCCAAAGTCCCTGGTCCAGGAAACCACAGCCACAGCCCCATGGAGCCAGGGCAGGGGCAGCAGAATGGGACCCTGAGACTTCCCCCAGCCCCTGGCTGTTTGCATGGCAGCACCCACAGGACCCTGAGTACCAAGCAGGCTGCCCAGCATTGAGCTCCTACGGTGTCAGTCAGGCCCTGGGGACAACCCCGGTCCAAACCCAGCCCTAAAGCTTTGCCCACAGCCTGCTGCAGTGCATCCAGTCCCCAGCACAGACACTCCTAGTGTCCCAAGGTCTGCCGAGGCTGGCAGAGAAGACAGGGGAGTGTTGTTACAAACAGCTGACTCCAGGAGCTGCAGTTTCAATCTGTTTAATAATTTAAATTAAACCATTCTCCCTAGCTGCAGCACTAGCAAAATGGCTTGGGCATAATTATGTTATTAACGGTGAGTTTCCATTAGCAACTAGTGGTCCACAAAAAGGTTTGCAAGGTTTGGTCCACAGGCCAAAAAGTTTGAAAACCACTCCCGTATACCAAACTATACCCATTTCTAGAAGCTATATATCTATAAAACTTCTTGAATTATACTTGCTGCTCACTTATTAGTGGACATCAAAAGAACTGAGAAGACACAGGACACTTCAGGATGCTCAGCAAGGTAATCTCCTTTACTGGCTTTCTTAACTGCACAATGATCTAAGTTATTTGATTTCCACCTTTCCTACTTCTCTAGCTTGGTAGAGAAGAACACTTAAGATTCTTCTCTTAGAATAGCTTTACAGTAGTTTAGAGTTATATTAGAAACGTATATGACATCCTCAGGGTAACTTCTTTGTTGTTGTGTGGTATTTGCCCAAGTTGTTCTTATCTTTAAAGTCCAGATGCTTGAGGCATCCTAAAGCTAGGGAGAACTTGAGAAATTATATACATTTATACTTAGAAGAGGACAGGCATTGCAACATCTGAACTTCCTCTTTAAACAATTTTAACATGACACACTCCTTCAAAGCCACATATATTTTTCAGTGGAATGCCAACTGCTTTAGAATACAAATGCTTTGGATACAAACGTTTCTGGTTTAGTAAAAGTCTTCTTACCTCTGGTGCAAACATGGTGTCGTAAGTGGGATTGTACTGAACTTCCTTGATAGCAGGATCTAGATGGACTCCCGTCTCCACATCTTCCTGAAATACAACAAAGGTGCTACTGAAATATAATCCAAACTTCTCACATATAGCTCATGTTAAATACCTGACACTAATTTGACTATATGGGGGACAATATGTGTTTTAAATTAGACCTATATAATTTTACTTTTTAGTTTTTAAAAAAAAAAAAAAAAAAAAAAATCAGTAGAAGCTTGGCCAGAATTCTTATTTATCATTTAGATCAGGGGTCTCCAAACTACGGCCCGGGGGCCGGATGCGGCCCGCGAGGCCCTCTCATCCGGCCCATGGAGACCTTTTTGGATTCAAAGGCAGAAGAAGTGAGATTGTTTCAAAACCCATTTGAAGCAGATGTGGCCAGTTGCCCAGATGAACTGCAGCTGGAAGTCATTGAGTTGCAAGCAAATGACCTCCTTAGGGACAAGTTCAAAATAGGACTGGTGGGTTTTTACCAGTTTTTGCCCAAGGAAGACTTTCCTAATGTCAAAACTTTTGCATCAAGGTACCTTTCAATCTTTGGAACAACATACCTGTGTGAACAAACATTTTCAAGAATGAAATACGTGAAGAACAATTTGAGAACAAACTACCACCCCCAATTTCAAACAGTGATTTCTAAAGCCAGAAATGTCTGCTATTTTGGCATCCAGGAAACAATTTCACCATTCACACTAATACAGGTGTTCATGTGTAGTGTATCAATGTGTTATTAAATAATAACTGAATAAAATAATATTAAATACATAATTAAAAACAACATCCATGTTTTGATTGTTTTTTATTTGGACCTCAAGTGTGTAGTCGGCCCCCGAACTGCTGTTTGATAGTTAATGCGGCCCTCGGGCTGAAAAGTTTGGAGACCCCTGATTTAGATGAACAACAAAAGTTTGACAAGTTTTTAATTAAGGCTCAACTTTACCTATAAGTGCAATTAAAACAATCACTACCACCCAATTTCCTAACATTAGCCCTTATATTCCCATTAGCCTTTTGGAGAAAAAAGCAAAGTACTTTGGGATAAACAAAACAGCAGGGGCTTGAGAATTTTGTTCGAAATTTTTTTTGTAGATGCAGGGTTATTAGGAATTCCCTGCATCTCTTAATTCCTTTTCACATACACAGTTTATAAATAGAACCCCATGCAAACTTTCTTCGCTTCTTGATGCAGAAGTCTTTGTACAGATGTCAGCTATCAAGATTCCCTGTTAGTCACTGTGTTCTATTTTTCCCTCAAAATTTGCTGAGATTTTATGATGTAACCAATGATTTTGGTGCACAGCTCAGCATATACTTTGTAGTGGCCCCATTTGTATGTAGTGCTAAAGACCCATCATCCAAAAATCTAACATCTTAGTTGGGCACTTATATATTGAGGCACTAAAATGAATTATCACTTTTGAAAAATTGTGTTCTCCATCCTCAACTCCACGTTGCATAATTCCTCCAAAGTCAGTCAACACTGCCCTTGAGCCAACTACAAGGCTGCCTAAAGAAAGACATTTTCCTAATAATACTAGGAAGCTTATAGTGCTTTCAAAGAGTTTGGACAATGGAAAGAAGCAAGGCAGATACCATATGGAACATAAACACATCACTGAACATGGTTCTGTGGCTACTGATGCATTCTCTCCCACTCCAAAGATCTGCTGTAATATGGCTTCTCTCCTTAGAAATCTTCATAGGAATAGTTCTCATGCTCAAGGCAGAAATACATTTTATATACATACTATATATACAGACCTCTTCTCTCACATCCATTGGTTGGGTCAAAAATGAATGCAACAGTCTGTATCTTTGCCCCAAACTACAGCTAGTTTTCCAGCTTAGTGGAAGACAGTTGATATCAAGCTCACGGACCACAAACACACCTCTTTCTAGAGACCTGCTCATTTTGCCTCATCCTTCTTCTATTAAAATAGACTGCCACGGATCCTAAAAACATGTAATGTTTCCTCCATATCCTGAAACTTGATCCAGCATGCTCTTCTTAATGCCATCTGTGTGGAAGATGAGCACCGTGGATAGAACTGCCTGTTCAAGTGCAGATTCCAATCGATAGGCTGGCACAAATGGTTATCAATAGACATGGGAAGCACTTTCTGCTACAAAAATAAAACCTCTCTTCCATGTGTATTTTATTCTATTAAAGGCTTTCCTTTATCTGACAAAACTAGATAAGCTTTCTAGGACAGGGATGGTATGTAAACAAAGACCAATTCATTCTTATGCATTATAATGGATCAAATGCAGTCCTGGCATAAAGACTGACAGAAACCAATCCCACTACAGGCAGTCCCCGAGTTACGTGGATCCGATTTACGTTGGATCCCTACTTATGAACGGGGCTTTTCTTGCCACGGAGGACGCGGGCGGCGGGACCGCCCAGACGCGCCGCGGTCCTGCCGCTCGCGTCCTCCGCAGCGAGAAAAGCTGCTCCGCGTCTCCCTGGTCTGCAGGACTGAGGGAAGTGAGGTGTGGGAGAATAAAATTGAGCTCTGGAGAAATGTTTGGCTAGAGTTTCCCCTACAATATGTACCAGTTCCGACTTACATACAAATTCAACTTAAGAACAAACCTACAGTCCCTATCTTGTATGTAACCCGGGGACTGCCTGTATTCTTCCAGGTAACTATAAATGAAAGAGAGAACGTTTCATTTTTACTCTCTAAGACACTTTCTGTTGTCAGTTTCATTCTAACATCTATACAAGCAGGCCCGAATTTTCAAATATGTGTATGGTGAAGTGTTTGCAGAAATGGGACTTTCACAGCTGCAGGAGAGAAAAACCTGAAAAATGTGATATCCTCCACCCTCCCCGTCACCACCCAAAAAATAAAACTATAAAAAATGGAAGGGGTAGAGGTGATTATTTGAAACCACTAAACCTTTTTTCTTTCAAGTGACTAGATTACAAGTTGATGATGTCACTTTACCAAAACAAATTTAAATTAAAAAATGTAAAGTTTCTGGAAACCTTTGAAAGAAAATATTTACAAATTCTCATATATATGAGGACTGGCATGTACTGTTCTGTACTGTAGGCTTGGGTTATTTTATTGCATTGTAGAATATTCCTTCTCTGTCTTCTTGTATTGATAGATGTATGTATTCATGCCTTTGGGAAGTCATGTATACCTCGGGCTTCCTGTAGTCAGCCGCTGGTCAGTTTCAGCAGCGGCTGAATCGGGGACACCTGGGGTACAATATGTACCAGTTCCGACTTACATACAAATTCAACTTAAGAACAAACCTACAGTCCCTATCTTGTACGTAACCCGGGGACTGCCTGTATTGTCTTCCATGAGAGTTACATCTGCTTATATAAGCTGAGTATCATCCAATAAATATATCCTACTTTTTTGATTCTTGGGCTAAAGATTAAGAAATTCAAAGTGGCAATATAGCTTACTCTCCTCTTTTAATGCTTTTCATTAGGCTCACTTTTAAGGGAAATCAGAAATGAAGTGTTTATCAACTAGTCCTCCAAAGTTCTATGGATCTAAAATAATTGAGATGTCTTAAGCTTCACACATTTTCCATTAGAACAGTGTTTCCCAAATGGTGTTCCGCAGAACCCCGGAGTTCCGTGAAGTGAAAATAAGGGCTCTGCAAGAAAATTCCATTACTACATTTTATGATTTAAAAAAAAAATATTTAAACGTTTATGAATTTTACTGAAAACTATTTTCATTTGTGTTTGCCATGATAAGTATCCCTGTATAATGCCAGCTTAGCCACAGAGTGGGGATGATGATGTCACTACTCAGCGCTGCGCACGCAGTCAATCTGTGGTACGATCCTCTGTTATATACCACCATAAATCCCCGTACTCATTCTCAAGGAGCGTGGATCATGCAGGTGACTGAATACGGATATACTAGCAACGCGTCAGACAAAGTCAAAGCTTCAGCTGTCCGACCAGTTGCTTGTATAGGAGTGCGCAGGCAGTGCTCTAGCGCAGGGGTTCCCAAACTTTTTGACACGAGGACCAGTAAATCCATTCACGAGTTTTTGGAGGACCGGTAACATTCATTTGCATATTCATTAAGCAAATGATGACTATTCAAATAAGTTGTTTCTGGTCCTCCCAAAGCTTTTGATACAGTCACCCACAATATTCTTGCCAGCAAGTTAAGGGAATATGAATTGGATAAATGGATTGTAAGATGGGTAAAAAGCTGGCTAGATCGGGGTTTCCCAAACTTTTTACTTTAGTTGGAACTAGTTTTTTTTCAGTACTGTTTTTTGCAGCCCAAAAATATAAACACATATAAAAAGAGAATGAAAAATGAATAAATTTTCAGTGTTTCACCCGGCTGCATCCTCTTGCCCAGCCTGGGCCAGGGCTTGGGGTACCCAGCGCTGCATGGGCACTCCAGGAAGCGGGAGCAGGAGCATATTGGGGGTAAGGTATCTGGCTAGGAGGGAGGGTGCAAGGAGGGGTAGGGTTGCCAGGTGTCTGGTTTTGTACCAGACAGTCCGGTATTTGAGGGTTTTGTCCGGGAAACAAATTGAGAAATTACCAGACATATAAAATGTCTGGTACTTTCTAATTAGGTAAGTTTATTATTATTAGGTGTATCAGTCCTTAGCTGCGAACTGCCTGGCTGGTAGATGTGCTCATGCTGCCTGAATGTGTCTACCAGCCAGGCAGTTCGCAACTACTCGAGGGAGGGTATGTGTGTGTGTGGGGGGGTGGGCAAAATGGAAGCCCCAGGGCCGGACTCACTCATGTGCCCGGGTCTGCATGTGCCCGGGTTCATCCCACTTCCCTCCCTGTTCTCCTCCCGATCTCCCCTGTCCAACCCTGCTGCCCCTGTCCAGTCCTGCTTCCCGCGGCCGGTTCTCTCCCACCCCCCACCAATCTCCTCCGGTCAGCCCCGCTCCCCCGTCCAGCCCTGCTTCCAACAGCTGATTCTCCCAGCCGTCACCTCCCAATCTCTCCACCCAACTCCTGCTTTTAGAGACCTCTATCCTGTCCCCCTTCCGTCTCCTCTTTTCTAAGCTGAAAAGTCCCA